AACGGTTCTGAAACCACTCTGAATATGAATTTCGGATTCTACCATCGAGGATTCTACACTACTTTGGTTCTTTGCGCAGAATCGTGACGGTACAGTGTACGGTTTACTGCTGTGTTGGAACAAAGCTATAGTTTAGAATATGGTGAGTTCAGCCCAAGGATAATACACACCACTAAGGATTCCTTATCGGCATCGTTTTTGGTAATCGCTGCCATAATGGTGTATCACCATTGGCGACGTCATCAACCAAGTCGTCAGCGACATCAGCAGCTGTTTGCGTCAGCAGTCGTAGTTTAGAATTTAAATTAATGATGTTATTATGTTATGTTATGTTATTTAATTTTGATTGACATAATAAGCAAATAGGAAGATGCAAACGAGATCTGAATAGTACAATAAAATACAAGTTTCATAAGACGTCATTTTATCGCACGAGCCCGAGCCGGAGGCGAGTTTTCTAAAGGGCGAGTTTTCTAAAGGGCGAGTTTTCTCAAGGGCGAGTTTTCTAAAAGGCGAGTTTTCTAAAGGGCGAGTTTTCTAAAGGGCGAGTACGATAAAATGGCTTCTTATGAAACGAATATTTTATACTATTTTTTCTATTTTGGTATTGTTTAATTAAAAAAAACAAATTTTTCTTGGAAATTTTTTTCTCATATTTCCTGATTTCATATGTTTAGGTTGGTAACACTACATGCCAAATATAGAATTAAAGGTATTTTTTTGCGACAAAACGTTTTGAATCAGTTTCAAAACACTCCGTTTTCTTGAGTCATTGATGACGTCACATTTGACTCTGCTTCAAAACGTTTTAAAAAGCTTCTGGGAAACCGTTTCAAAAAAGTAAATTGTCAACAAAAGGCGCCAAATTTAAACAGATGTCAAGTTCTAACAGTTCTAACCCCAAATTTTTTCTTTCTCTCCGTTGACTGAATAGGGCAAGTAGAGTCCGCGTCAGCAGTAAAGAGTACGGTGACGACACGGAAAGCTGCGCGAAGCGGATCGGATCTCTCTCCCTCGTCTATCTCTTGCTGTCTGCCGTGACCTCGGCCGTGAGCTGAAACCAGCAGCGCGGTATCTTTTCAGACAGAACTTGGATAAAAAATAAACTAAATAAATATGCCTGCTAGCCGTACGACAATGAACCACGTGCTTGGCGTTCGGCAGCAGCACCGAACAATACGATAGTTCGGTTAGTTTCCAAAATTGGGTTTGTGCGCATTTGACGTCACCGTACTCTTTACTCTTTACGCGAGCCGCTTTCCAGTATGGGAGTGTGAAGCCCGGAGCTACTCGGCGCGTGGAGCCCCCGAGCTGTACGTACGCGTCAACCTATCAGCTGTCACATCTGTGGGTGGCTATTTATCTATTTATTTCTTGTTATATCTCAAGATTGAACATTTTAAAATATATAGTTTTGATTCTCTTTCATTTTTGATAAATAAAAAAACAAACTGCACAAACAAATAGATAATTATTTTTAAAATTTGACATATTTGACACTAAGACAGGCGTCTCACGCCATGATACTGCGGAACGGTACAAATCTAGTGCGTGGCGCCCCCGAGGTGCTCTGGAGCGCGCCAGAGCGCGCCAATGTGCATACTGGAAAGCGGCTGCGGACTCTACACGATCTGACAGTTTGACACTATTGACAGTCGCCTTGAGGTAAAACAAAGATTTAGGGGACGTTCCGTAAGTTAACCAAGATTCTTGGTTTTTCCGGTAAACGTTCCGTAACCTAACCACTCTTGAAATCTGGTTAGGTTATGAAACGCGGTTCCACACATAAACCGCATATTCAGGAACCGGACTGTCACCATAAACGAACCGCTCCATACCAATCGGTAACTCTGGTTAAGATACGGAAAGCCGCCTTAATTTACAGTGTTTTTTAAGTTTTTATATAAAATCGCGAATGAGAGTTCGTAGTTCGATGTACAGTGGCTAAATAAACTTTTACATACAGTGGCGACAATAGAGGTCCCGGCGCCATTTTGTTCCCAAGCTCTTCTTACGTTTAAATATTGATATATAGGATTTAAATGGACATCTATCATAAAAAATTGAAATCGACGTATTTGATGACTCTTATTAGGTCCATCAAATACGTTGTTTTCCATGTTTTATGATGGATGTTCACCCAAATCCCATATATTCATATTTGAAATAAGCAATAGGTGGGAACAAGATGGCCGCGTTTTCAATATAAATATATGGGATTTTAGCAAGAATCGTAAACTCTACAGGATTGCTCAATCCCATAAGACAAACGTTCATAAAAACATCGAAGATGGCGGTATGCGAATGACGTCACGTAGTCCTTGATCGGTTTGTGTCAATGAACTATAGCTAAAAACTGGAATGCGCACACATTGCCATATCTGCCAAAAAAATGAAGCCATGAAAGACAGATGCCACAAGGGGGAATGTTGTTTTTCTCTGTTGCTCACTGACATATGACGTTTTCGAAAGTTTTGTCAGATTTCCCTTCACAGGTTTCATCAATTGGAATACGTGTTGGAAGCAATTTTCGCCATTTAACATAATGAGTGCGACAAAAACAGGTATCCCCTCCGCAGCAGCCGCACTAGGCTTCAAGTTCGTCCTTATGTGTTAGCATTCCAGTTTTTGGTTATAGTTCATTGGTTTGTGTTTTTTATGACAGTGGACTATCCTTGCATTTTCAAACGTGAAAAATTGTTATTTTGAGGTTATTTCCTTTGAAAACTGTATTTTGTAATTAATTTATTGATTTTAAAATTAGCAGACTTCAAAAGCTTGTGTCCTTGAGGCTTGAGTGGTTGGCTAATTGCTAATTAGAAAGACGAGTTTGTTTGCTTTTGTTTATCAATTAGCCAAACATATTGCCAAAAAGTCAAAAAAACGAAGGGCTGGAGTCAAGCTGGCCCCCGGATTCGTTTCAATGTTTTTTTTGTGTATGAAAATGAGCACAATTCGCATAAATACTGGCACAATTGAGCACAAAACGGGCACAATTGACTACAGTTGAGAAACAGTAGAAAACCAAATGTGGGGTGCCGAGCCGGTTTAATTTTTGCATTTCAATATCAAAATATAAGCGAAACGGGGTTGCAATAGTGTGCTTTATTTTTTACTGACCCTATACCTAGGTACTTCTCAATTATTATTCATTAATTTAATAGGTACTAGAACGATTTAATATGGACATTCAAAGTGAGCTTATTTCACAAAGCCAAATAGTGATACCTAATTTAGATTCTCATAATCATATTCCAGAAAAACATTGCAAGTTTCCCATATTTTCCATGCGTTTTCATAGTAAACGCGCCAGTAAAGGAATTTATTTACATATTTATTTATTCACTCTTCACAAACCCTAATTTTTACTTACACTAAGTAGATATTTGATTTATAAAAAAAAAGCAAAACAAAAATAACTAGCAATACACACAAATAAAAGAGCGATGTCCTGATACAACAAATCCAGTATTATAAAACCAGAAAATGCTTGGGGTTTTTGCGAGTATTTTCAGCCACGAGTCTTTTATGCTTACACACATTAAATGAAACTTTAAATTTACACTTATAACACTAGATAAATCCGAATTTACGATAAAATAGTTGTCAGCACAAACGAGCACAAACTAAACATCATTCGTATCAGCGGCCATCTTGAAAATCCGGCATGCGCGTGACGTCACAGCAATTGTGAACAAATTTAGCCGCTTGAGCAATCCTGTAGAGTTTACGATTCTTGCTAAAATCCCAAGAATCGTAAACTCTACAGGATTGCTCAATCGGCTAAATTTGTTCACAATTGCTGTGACGTCACGCGCATGCCGGATTTTCAAGATGGCCGCTGATACGAATGATGTTTAGTTTGTGCTCGTTTGTGCTGACAACTATTTTATGCAAAAATTAAACCGGCTCGGCACCCCACATTTGGTTTTCTACTGTTTCTCAACTGTAGTCAATTGTGCCCGTTTTGTGCTCAATTGTGCCAGTATTTATGCGAATTGTGCTCATTTTCATACACAAAAAAAAACATTGAAACGAATCCGGGGGCCAGCTTGACTCCAGCCCTTTGTTTTTTTGACTTTTTGGCAATATGTTTGGCTAATTGATAAACAAAAGCAAACAAACTCGTCTTTCTAATTAGCAATTAGCCAACCACTCAAGCCTCAAGGACACAAGCTTTTGAAGTCTGCTAATTTTAAAATCAATAAATTAATTACAAAATACAGTTTTCAAAGGAAATAACCTCAAAATAACAATTTTTCACGTTTGAAAATGCAAGGATAGTCCACTGTCATAAAAAACACAAACCGATCAAGGACTACGTGACGTCATTCGCATACCGCCATCTTCGATGTTTTTATGAACGTTTGTCTTATGGGATTGAGCAATCCTGTAGAGTTTACGATTCTTGGGATTTTAGAACCAATCAAAAATAAGACAGCAATTGTCGCCACTGTGGGTAATAGAGTCACTGTAGTTCGATGGCCATCAGTCAGCCAGTGTTACCAACTTCCGATAAGTTAAAAAGGAGTGTCACAAAGAGCTTCTTTTCGAAACTACTTTTAGTGTCGGAAAGACTTCGATATGACACCAAAATAGAAAAAAATAGTGGTTTTATGGCCATTTCAATCTTAAATATTTCAACCAACTATTTTAGGGGAGCCCTAACGATAGGTATGCGTTAAACTGGCATTTCTTCATGAAATATTATCTTTTTAAGGAAAAAACCGCGGGTTGGATGAATTTATACAGTGTGGGGTCTCAGATTTGGATTTTTAACCAGTCCTCTTCTGGGTCCAGTAAAATTGTTATGTGTGACTTAAATATTATTAGTATAGGTACCTATATATTTTTTTACTGTATAATTTTTGGTATTTACCAAGTGTGTTTTGTATTTTGAATCTACTTATGACTATGTTAAGAAACTTGGTAAATTTTTCAGTAATATATTTGAACTTTGAAGGTAATTATTATTTGTTCATTATCCATAGGATAGGTATTTCTTACTTCAACACTAATTCAATGTAGGAAATAAATAGAAACTTTTTTTTTTAATAAAATTTTATTAGAAACAAGTTTAAAGTCATATTAAAATAAACATGTTTGTAACCAATCTGCATGAGCAAAAATGCGAAAAACTTGAAATGCCTTCTGATTTGTTTGAACGATATTTGATACTCTATTAATTTAAGTTTATTTCGCATTTTTGCACATGAGAACGTTTAATAGTAAGTAATAATCAACAGCTGTGGTTACACAGAATCTAAAAAAAAAAAAAATTAAGAATTTTAAAAAAAAATCGTCGTATTAAAAAAAAATCTTCAATTAAAAAAAAAAACTGTTCAAACAGAAATTGAGAATATTAAGGAAAATACATTGAGGTAGACAGCCAATAGATGTTTTATAAAATCAAAAAAATACAATATGGCATCCTCTGTATATCCTAAAAACAGAACTCACATTATGTAAGGTTAGGTAACCTAGGGGGTCAGCTATAGAGCAGCAAGTGATCAATGAGGGACTGTATTTTGCAATTATTACTATATGACCCAGCTGCACTCTAATCACAGATTAGATTAGGCCTGCTTTCGAACTATCGCCCTCTATTTCTGTCTCCTCTGGCCAATCAGGACTGGACATACAGAGCCCGGATTCTATCTTACGAGTCGAGTCTAATTGTCTGTTATGACACTCGGAATCAAATAGGACAGCTCCGGACGTACCGTGTAATACATATCGAAAAATAGAATCGCTATTTTGACAATTCGATATGAATTCCGACTCGACTCGTAAAATAGAATCCTGCAGCAGTTCAAAAACCAAAACTTTTATATTTCTGCATCACTTCATTGATCACCCTCTATAACATGACCATTGCATTGCTTATGGAAAATTATTTTTTGCCTAGTGCTCTAGACAACACAGGCATTCGAATACTAAATCCCAAATAAAATGGAAAGCATTTTTAGAAAAGGTACAACAAATTATTGAAAGAGGTCCTAAAAATTGCTTTCTGGCGAGCACTGTATTTTTTTATCTCAATAACTAATAACTAATAAAGCCTTAAAAAAAAGGCTGTTAACGAAATCAATAATTTTCTGCTTGCGCAAAAACAAAAATTTTAAAATCCATTACAAGCACAATACTACCCAAAATTAAAAGAAAAGTTTGCGTCGTTGCCTACCCTTGGCAAAAACTAACACTATCACAAAAAACATCCTAAGTGAAAAACAATTTAAAAAACAATGCAACAATTTGATTCATCCAAGATCCTTATAAAATCTTCAAATTAAATTATTGCTAAGAACCTTAAATGATGTTTTCAAAGGAGAATTGCAAAATAACATAATTCTTATCTTAGTAGTGTAAAAAATTATCATAATCGACTAAAAATTAAATTTCCTTTTCCCAACGATGGATTCTAATTATTTTATTAATATAAACAGCAACATTTGTTCAAATAAATGTTGTTCTATCATAAGAGGTAAATTGTTTATGTGAAACTCTTAAAATATAAATTTATGTTATTGAGTCTCCCTTGCTTTTCGATTTCAGATACTTTACTTAGTTTAATTTGAACCAAAACTTTCTGAAAAATTGAAAAATCGTAATAATTTGCATTAACAAAAAATATATACATATATCTTGCAGTGCCCACAATTTTTTTTGTATTTTATGTAGGTACTTACCTACTTCGAAGTTGAAGTAGATAATTAAGTTTTTCGCTTAGTTCAATTTTGAATAAAATCAACAACATTATTTACAAAAACTCTGGTAAGAAACCCAACAATTACCTCTAGGAAGAGGTAACAACTTACCAGTTTTTGGCATTAAAAACAATGCTACACTTAAAGAACTCTCTCAAACCTAAATACTACTGTCATGAAACGCAGATTGCAATGCAAGGGAACTTTTTACAAGGTTAAATTCGAACTTAAATAACTAATAATAGGAAAAATCATCCTTAAACATCCTAACGTTATCACAAAAATTACCAATATAAAAATTAATAAACTATCAAACCCTAAGTTTGATTTTTTTTCGACAAAATGTCAAGCATTGCGTTTCTTCAATTTTTTTAGGGCTTCTTGAAGAAGTTGATCGTAGTCAGCGTCAGCACTTGATGAATGAGTTGGGTAGTAGCTATCATCTCTCACGTTATCTGAAAAAAGAAAATTGTCCTGTATTCCTGAAATCGTGTCGCTTTTTTTTTAAATTCTCTGGTCGAAGAAAAATGGCGCAAGTGAAAACAATGAAAGCTGGCGACTAGCTTTAAATCATAATGGTTTTTCATATTTTTAAACCATAGTTTTTGGGAGTTAACACCTTGACGTGGTGAGAGGGCTCAGTATTTTCAAGAATCCTGAGAGTAATGCCAGCGGAAGCAAATGCTCCTGGTAGGGTCACTTTTGCTGGTAAGGTCAATGGTGAGAAAAGAAGCCAAGTTAATCCACAACCGTAGCGTATGACCCAAAATGGGCGACTACAAGCAGCGTCTGTACCCAGAATGAGCGGCTGAATTTCTACCTGGGAACAGGACTCGTCAACCCACCTGGCTAGCGTGGCGCTTTAGAAGCTAATAACCTTCCAAATGAAAAACATGTTGAATTCTGAAACAATATTACCCCAGGCGAGTAGAGCTATCAACTTAAAATCTCGCTCTGATTTATCAGACCGCCTCATGGAATCTGGAGGAGGCACATATTCGAAAAATACACAAAAACGACGAAGAACAGTCCGAATACAACAAGACTGGATAATACAGAAATGCCACCGGAAAAAACTATTGGTGAAGTACTGGAAGACCCCAAAAAAGGTGGCGGGATGACATCGTGAAACCGCGGGGAAAAACTGGGTAAAAACAGCACAGGACCAGAGGGGCATGCAAACAATTGGAAGAGGCTTTCATCCAGGAGTGGATGGCATTCGTCTGAAGAAGAAGAAGAAGAAGAAGTTTTTGGGATTGCATTGGTAACACAATTAAATACTTACCCTATAGATATCATATTCAAATATAAAATGTCTGGGAGCAAACACATAATCATGTTAATCTAGAATGAACTCACCTAAATCGGAATAGGCAGACTTGCAAAAATCTCTCCGACCTCCAAAGCTGATTTTATAATAAGCATGATCAAGATCATCATTTCCGTGTTCGTAGGCGGCATGGGCGTCTTCTTTGTACTTGAAAGTGACAAAACCATAATTCTCTCTAAAAAGTAAAAGAAATTTTTAATTAGTAAAGTAACTAGTAATTTATTTATAAAGCAATGGAAGACAATACTTTTAAATTATAGAAAATAATTCAATTAGAAATCTTCAATGTTCCAGAGATTATTCACTCCTAGAATGAAAAGCAATTCTTATGAAAAAAATCTCTAGCTGCTAAAAAAACTAGGAATAGATTAAATTAAATAGATAAAGCATGTAAATACCCTATTTCGCGGAAATGCAAGGTGATCCTATTAATAGGTCCAAATTTTTGGAATTTTCTTCTAAGTTCCTTCTTAGTAGTCTCTGAATTAATTTTGCCAACATAAATAATACGACGCTCTTCTACCGCATTTAGATGTTCACTATTACGTCTTGTTCTTCTATACGCTGGCGATCTTGATCTCGAGTATGACAACCTATACACAATTAAAGGAATAAAAACATTAGCTTTGAAAACATAATATGCCAGAAGTTACTCTATAAAAAAAAAATCAAGTACCTTGAAGAACTTCTCGACATGCCTGAAGAATATGAAGACGACGATGAGCTTCGAGAGGTAGAAGACGTAGAACTACATGAAGAATCTGAACGTACTCTACTCCTAAAATTGGAAATTTGGTTAAATACCGACACAACAAAAGGACAATCAGCAAAACCGACCTTCTAGAAGAGCCAGAACTTCTGCTTTTGGTATAAGAAGATCTTGATTCACTACTGCTAGAAACTTTTCTTATTCTCCTTATTCCTTTATCAATCAATGATATGTTTGTTTGAATTTTTGCATCTCTTGTTTCTGGACGTAACCGATCTTTTTCCAAATAAATAATTTTTTTGTGTTCTCCATGTTCTCTGTTTAGACTTTGTTCTTGCATTGTTGACTTTGTTTCTTCTTTTTTTGCGTTTCTGTCAATAAGTATTGGTACAGTTTCCATAACTGATAATATTAAGGAATTTCCGTTAATCTTATTGCTAACTTTTTCTAGAAGCGGTTTCATTTCCATCAAGTTTTCGATTGGGGCTAGAGGGTCTTCATTTTTAGCAATACTCAAGTCAGTGTTTACTCCGCAACTGACTAAAATTTTGCGTTCAAGATTGGGAGGAAGTTTAGGTAGTTTAACTTCTCGATTTTTGATGTTATCAACTATTTCCTTGTCATCATTATTGTTATTAATTGCTTTAAGTTCTACATTGCTTTTAGTTATAACTGAGCAGACCTGAGGCAGTGGACTAGAACCACAATCAGTTTTTTTTTCAGACTTTGGTGCAGCTTTTAATAATTCTTCCGCCATTTTTTTCAATTTTTGTTGGTGTTTCAACATTTTCTGGTAGTCATCTTCCGGCGATGGAGAACTACAGGTGCTCGTAGAAGGAGAACAATTCAGAGATTGGCTCTTTGGTGTTATGATGCCATTTCGACGTTTGTTATATTCTTCGAGGTTGAGTTTTCTTTTTTGGTTTTTAGGAGCAACAGTACAAGTATTGAATTGAATTTCCGGCGTTACGTTATTTTTGCGTTCTTTATATTCTTCTATGCTAAGTTTCTTCTTTTGGTTTGTAGAGTCATCATCAACATTTTGTTTGTTGTCTGAGTTAGCCTAGAAAAAAGTTAAGAATAAAGAAAAGCATACCACACAAAAATAAGTGAATGCATTTAATATAATGTTATACAATAATAACTAATTTTAACAAAAAATTAAAAACATAAATACCTTCAACACATCTATGACATTTGGTTGATGATTCAGAACAGTTTTTTCATCTTTCACTAAACCAATGGATGAATCTTCTTTACATTTCTGTCCATTCAACTTTTTACCGCTCGAATTTTCAATACAGTAACTATGATCCAAAATGACAGTTTTATTGGTGGCGATTACAGGTAGGGTGTAGTTTCGACATTTCATTCTTTTTTTGAAATTAGGAACCGGATCTATGACAGTTATTGGCTTACGTTTGCCAGATTCCTTAATACGATTTATCAATTCTTGAGGTAATGAGTTGATATTTTGTTTGTTGCTTGAAACACTAGAGGTTTTAAAAGAGGTAGGTGGTGTTGTAGCTTTGCCTGTTGGTTTTACATGCATTCTATTGTTTGTATACCTTGTGCATAGTGGAAGCGGTTGCTCTATTTTCTCTGGTTCCGCTATTTTCTTGTTCTTCTGTGAAGGCTTTTGAATTTCAGTTTTCTTGTCAACTTTTAGTTCAATTCTCTTTGTAGTTATAGCTTCGTCTTTTCCAGTTTCAACATCAAATATCAAGCCTATACGATTTTTATTATCTCCTATAACATCTTTATTCCTCTCTTCACTAGCTTCAAATTTATGTAAAAGATCAGTCAAATTGCCTGCTTCTAGTATAAGTGAACTTTCTCCTTCTGTCACAGTTTCTATATCCACGTCACAGTCTTCTTCAGAAATTGTTTTTTGTCTTGTTTTAGGATATTCTTCTTCTTCTTCTTCTTCTTCTTCATCATCAACAATATATTTTTTTGCTTTTAAATCAATTTTCTTCACAGCAGCCTTAACGACTCGTTTAGCAGGGATGATATTTTTTTTTTCAAATTCAGGCTCCTCTTTGATAAATACTTTTGCTGCATGTTTTTGATTTCCAATTTTTGGAATAGGAGGTTCCTGTGGTTCAATTTTTATATTTTGGAGAGCATATTCGTTTGGAACAAATTCTTGTCCAGGAGAAGATACAGGTTCTATTTTGATTTCTAATAATTCATCTACAACTTTTTGTGCTTGTTTGTCTTCTTCAAATATATATTTAGTTATGTCAAAATTAGTAAAATCTGTGCTGCTAAAGCTTGTATTTAACAGATCTGAAGATTCTGATTCTCTTCTACTACTGCTAGTATTTATACTACCTTCAGAAAACTCTGATACACTGGCAGTTTTATAAGGATCACAGCTATCTTTGATTTCAGGAAGATCTAAGATTTCTTGAAGGGTTGGGACTGGTTCAATCACCCTCACTTGTTTTTTGCGTATGTAATTTACAGGAACTGGCAATTGTTCCACTTCAACCTGAAATAAATAACAAGAATGTACCTACCTACCTATAAGTATTTAAAAAAAAAACTTACATTATTTATCACAGGTGACGAAATCTGATTAATATCTGGTACATATTTTGGCATACACATGTATTGTTGATCTGCTGGTGTATATTCATGATCATCTTCAGCATATTCTGTTGGTGCATATATATATTCAACATCATCCATATCGCTTGCGTCAGTATTGACCCTATAATTATCAAACAATAGAAGGCAAGGTCTATACGATAAGATTTAAACTCTTTACGTTCTGTCATCACCATCGCTTGGCCATTCAAATATTTCATTTGGTGGTTGTGGCATTGGACGAATTTCTCCAAAAAGTGCATTGTGTTGAAAACTTGTCGAGTTGCTTGGGCAGACCTGAAAAGTAAAATTGAGTTAGGAAAGGCTCACTTGTTTGAGGTTCAAAATTACATTCTATGGTAGGCTCAAGTAATGTGTAAGTACATAATTTCAGATCTCGGGATATAGGAAAATGTACACAAAAAAGATTTAAATTTTCTTGTGGAATACAGCTTTTAGTTATTAATTAATTTAATAATATTGATGATTTTGATATCAAATAATTGATATAAGGACATATCGGCTTATGCTACAGCTAGACATAGTTTCCTTTACATAAGGGACCCATTGTTCATAACGACATCGAATATTAAGCAAAACCAAACTAATAATAATGATGATGCATAAGCATGTTTACTATTCAGCGTTTAGTTCAGTGATACTTATGTGGTAAGCTTATACAGCAAAGGGAATGCATTCTAGTATATTAATGACTCTGCAAATCTTTTAATGGCTTGAGTACTTAAACAATTCCAGGCTATGTGCTGGCTTGTCACTAGAGGGAGCAAAAAACCTGTAAAACGATTCATTTCAGCGTTATAACCATGGTTATTACGTTTAAAAAATTATTCAGACAGACTAAACAAAACTGAAGTGTATTGACCTCGGTATTGACTGACACTCGAGCCAGCACATTCCCATGGAAAAAAAACTGTGGTACTGAAATATTGGTTTGGAATAGGGAAAGGCATAGGTACATTTTTCAGAAAAAGTAATGTGAACATGCTAAACACTGACCAGCACACTCCCAGCAAACAACAATTTCTACTGAAAATCCCAGTTTTAGCCTAAAGATAAAGCTCATCTTCAAGTTATAACCCATAATTAGTTCACAATTTTGTGATAATAAATGATATTTAAAGAACACAGATTGCAAAAAAAAGAAACCTTAAAACAAAATGTGTTTACACTTAGCTTATTTACATCCAAATTCTTGAGTATTTGAAAGATGCCTGTCTGCCAAGTTATCAAGTATTTTCCAGATTTCTCTTGAATTATTGTATGCTTTTGAGATACAATTCATAAAAATGTATCTTTTGTGCTTTATAATACGACGATACTGCTACTACTATATTTTTCTGTGATGATTAATAATCTCAAACTTTTTGACGGAACTCTAACACCCTCAGTCGACAGCATATTTGGGTTACGAAATTAAATTCGACAAAAGCAGCGCGAGTATTCAGGAATCCTGGTAAAAACCCATGTTAATCTTATTGTTTAGGGCACAACCCGGGGCAAAATTAATCATTTCCAATATTTCGAAGAATCGAGGTAAAATAAAAAATACAGGATGTATCTAGTAAGAACAGTTCAAGCCAGATCTTGCAGCAAATATAGAACAGATGAAGCCTTATTTGAATGGTTCAAAATTCAGAGAAATTGGAATTTCTCATTAGTGGTTCTATATTACACAAAGAATCAGGCGATTTTGCTACACTACTTGAATTAGAAGATTTTAGATTCACAGTTGGAAGGATTCAACGATTTCAAAAAAGGCACAATATTATGTTTGACAAAATATGTGACCAAGCAGTAGGTAGATGTTATAGAAGGAATTTATAATGATTAGTTAAAGTGAGGTCAAATTTAGGAGAAAATACAGACACGGAAAAAATATGAACACAGATGAATCCCTTTATTTTCTAGAATTATCCCGAGAAACCAATGAAATTTAAATGCCAGTACCATAGTAGCAAGTGAACAGCTTTTAGATAAAATTACAGAAATAGAAACAGCCGTTAGGCCTATATGTGATGCTTGTCAATCTATTCCTGTTTGCATGACCTAAAGAACTGAGTAAAGAACATCTAATAACCTCTTAAGAGTCTTAGAATTTCAGCAAAGATAGAAAGCCAATGCCGAAATATCACCCAAAAAATGGTCTATGGTCTATGCTCAGTATTTCCATACTATAGGTATGTTTAATTTTGTACTAATCACTGAAATCAGTGTCGCAAACTCATAGAAAACCAAGTACCTAAAAGAGTGAAACCCTTGGGTTAAACCAGGCAGGTACCAAAGATGCTGGTTATATAAACAGACTTTAGCTATACCGCCTCATAAACAGGGTTAGAAAGATTTGTTGATCAGGGCAGTTGAAAGCATTGGTTTAACCATATCAAAACCCAACAGGTCAGTGTCAGTTCCAACCCTTGTTTTGACCACTTGAGAGGTCAAAAATGGTCAAAATTTGAATGATGTATTCAAATCAGTCTTTAAATCTTTAATTTAGGTACCTACATGAAAACGAAAACAGGTACAAGTAAGGAAGTAAGTCAGGGTAAAAATAAAAGCCTTGAATAATCATATTAACTAACATTTAATTTTGAATTATTTGCTTTAAAAAAAAACCTTAATGTTAAAAAAAAACATTACAAAGGTTCTTTATCACTTCTAATCAAAATCAAAATGTTTTCGATCCAATTTTTAGTTTCAGAAATCTGTCAACAGAAACTGCTTTATTGCATTTATCGAATCCTCATTTGTTTCCCAACTTTGAGTGAATAAAACTGAAATTTATTTATGCAAATTTAAAACAAATTCTTTAAAAAACTTTGCCTGTACTGACTTAAATTTCATCAAACCTTTCTCACCATAATATGGGATCAAGGTCAATCATGAATTCTGAGAAAAACGATTGAGTCGAGGATTGAGTATTGTTATTATAGGTAGGAAAGATTTATCATTTTCTGTTGTTTTCTGCGGTCCATTCTCTTGTCACATCATCGTTCAAATCTCTTTCAAAAAAATGTTCAATGATCTGACCAATATCCTGGTTAAAAACGAAATAAGTGGGTCTTCACTATCCCTTTTTATAAAGTTGTAGTAGTAACATAGTAAAAACACCAATTTTCAATATTTCCAAAACAATAGGTTGGGCAAATAAGGGCAAATGACCTGTAATTTTCGATTGGTATATGTCAAATTTGGGGGTGCTGAAGAAAAAAAATCAAATTACTTTTTTCCAATAACTTCTTTCTGGCGGTTTGGTAAAAAAAGTAATGCTATTTCAATTTATAATATTATTTATTTATTTTTTATTTCAGTTTTGAATGGTGGCAGCAATAATCATGGTTGGACAACATAACTGTAATTTTCTCGGAAATTTTAGATTGGCATTTTCAAATTTGGGGGTACTAAAAGAAAATTGTCAAAAAAATCCTGTGGTCATAATTGAAAACCTCCCATATTTCCGAGCATATTTCAAAAACAACAAGTCTAGTTTTTTTAATACCTATTCGGAAGTACCAGTCATATTAGTGATTGGTAATTTCACGAGTAATTTCATGTTTCATCTGATTCTTGATCTGATTTATGATTGATAGGGATGGGGCTATTCCAAATGGGTATTAAAAATACTGTACCATAAGTAACATAAGTGCATATAAATGTAGGATAACATTCCAATATTCCCTTGTAAAATGCATTTTGCAATATAAATAATGATAACATTTTAAATGACAAAAGTGTTTCCGATCAATAACTCACATTGACCTAAATGGTTAGGTAGTATTTGCTTTAGAAGGTGTTTTACCTTATTATTTATTTCAATTCAAATAACGTATGTAAGCAGATTATGGAGAATACCTACTAGCAATCTTTATTGTTAACATCTGGCCACCATGTACCGAGCCATGTACTTAGGTACAAGCTTTAGAAAAATTTCAAATTAATATTATATTTTTATGTTGACTTGTTGTAGTGTAGAATGAGTTTTTCAAGATTCTGATCCTGTTGTCTGATGAAGGTAGCAAAATTACTTACCTACCATTATTAGGTACTGTCGAGGGTACTGTGTTTATCAACTATTTAAACTGGACTCGTAAGCCCAAGAAAATGTAATACCAAAAAAACAAGTCCAAAAACTAAAAATATCCTCGCAAATATCTAAATAAAACTTAAATTCTGAAAACTCAAAATCTCACAAAAGCTTTCAATAGCAATTAGGTGTGAAGTTTTAAAATCGAAGATTCTGACCTGAAAGCAATAAAATTCGAAAAGGAAAGGACTGTCCCAAACATAAACAGATACCCTAAAGTTTGGAAGTTGAAATTTCCAGGAAATGAAATAAGTACCTAATTATTTTTCTACATAGATTTTTGAAAGCATAAATTTGGAACATTTCAAAAACATTTCCAAATTTCGCACATAACCTAATGTACTTAATAAAAAAAAAGCAGTATCATTAGGTAAATAATATAAAGTACTGCTATAGAAACTGACAAAGTAAACTATCACACATCTTTGTTGATTAAATTGCTGTAGTCAGCGAAATTATGGGATAATGCTATCTCAAACTGATAAATTATAAATTTTGAAAGGAAATAAAAAAGTTTCTCGATTTCCACAATTACAGTTAGCTTACAGTAGCTTCTTTTAATACTTACCACATAAGCTGACGATGTGAATTGTTCATCTTCCCTATAAACTCCTATGTCCATTTTTTATGTTTGGGCAACACTGGACAGTTTTATATAAAAACACTAGGGGTTGTTTTGCATGATTTTACTCCACTACCGGAACCGTAGGAAATAGCGAGAATGTCATAGGATACTTATATTTGATAGCCAGTGAATGCCTATGATGACTGACACTACCAGAAAAAAAGTAAGAATTTCCCTTGAGGAGGACTATTGAATAATGTCAATTGGTTTTTTACAAAGAAAAGCACTGATATAAGTCACTATTTCACAAAATTTCAATCTATTTTATGTAATAAGCCCACTTTTGTTTAGACCGACCTGACCAACACGTTTTTTAAGGTTATGGCGCTTATGGTAGGGATTTTCACTTGAAATTCACTGAAAATGCCGGATATCAACTGCTGATAATAATTCCGGGCGATGTTTAGGGTAGGATTTGAGGGTTGGCACTGAATTTAGTAGCACAATATCAAAGAATTCGATATTATTGTTATTAAACCGAAAAGTTCACACGTGTGTCAACTACCTCTTCGAAGAACACATTTTCGGATTCGGTGTCTAGTCTAAACTACGGTGTGTTCGATTGATCGTCTGTTGAGGTCTTTGGTCTCTATCTGCCACTTTTTCTCCTCAGTGTTCTGTCTCATTTTCTTAATTACATGAGGATTGATCTGACCAATCACGTATCGACTTTCGAACTTGCAGGTAGAAATCTGTTATTTGTCCTAAAAGTGTTCTTTTTTAATGGGCTGCTGGTAGAGGTCGCCGGTGAACTTATCTTGTGCCATTGGCGTACCACAAACATTTATTTGTGGACTGGTTATTAGTAGAGTGTTCATTAGCAAGATTTATCATGCTTCATTTTTGTACTGCTTTTCTTGCTTCAAGCAGATCGGCTTTCAGTTTTCCCAATGGTACAATTAGCACCAATTATTGCAAAGAAAATGCATTTCTATCTGTTTCTTTAACATGCTGAGAAAAAGAGATGGAGATGCACATAAAATCAACCAATCGGAAACGCCATAAAACGCGCCAGAAAATGTTGGTTTCGTTTCGGGCAAGGATATTACACACTGCTGAGGATTGCTTATCGGCCACGTTTTTAGTAATCGCGGTCATATGAGGTCTGTTTTCACAGAAATCACGAACCAGTCAGAGAGAATTTCATTGGTTAAAAATATTCAGGAAACTAGTTGTTGCTGATTTGGAGCAACCAAAAACGCTCTGACTGGTTTGTGATTTCAGTGGAAACAGACCTATCGTGTTGCACCATTGCCGCCGTCAATAGGTCTGTTTGCACTTGCACAGAAATCACAAACCAGTCAGAATGAATTTCATTGGTTGAAACTAGTTTTCTGACTGTTTCTGGCTGTTTTCAACCAATGAAAAACTAAGTCGGCAGCTATTTGCGCCAGCGGTCGCAGTTTAGAATTTAAATTTATGATGAAAAATATTAACTGGTGCTTTGGCATGGTGGGTTGAACTACACAGGCCTATAAGGATCAGCTATCCTGTAGTAATAGTGTGTATTATCCTTGATTACAATAGGTCTTTTTAGAAACGCTGATCCGATTAATCAAATCACCAGCTGATCTACTTTGTCTTTTTTCAATCCTGTTCCAATAAAGGAAGATAAAAAATAAACAGGTGATGATCGGGTTAAACGGATCAGCGTTTTCGAAAAGGCCTAATGGTCCCTAAATATTTTGGCATTTGTGGTGCACACACACACCCTACGTCAAGGCGAGAAACGACTCGCTGCTACGTCATCGCTGGTGCTTTGGCACAGTGAGGGGTGGTGAGGGCTTGAGATTTGAACTGCCCTTATCAAGATAGGCTATCCTGTAGTAGTAGTAGTAGTGTGTATTAATTAACTTTGATTTTAGGGTTCGGATATAAAGGTGGATCCATAAAGAAATTTCAGAACAATGACACTTTTTTGAATAGAACACCCTGTAAATTTTATTACATTTTTGGATTCTTCAGAAAATTCTAGATCCTTGTTTCTATGATGGGAGATGTAGGAGACTTTTGGTCGTGGCGCCATCTTAGACTACCAGCACTATATTTAACAGTTTCCAAAATATTGATATTTCAAAATAAAAATTTTTTCAACGAAATTGTGTAGACTGATGAGTAAAACATTTCAACAAGCGACAACATCAACAGAAAAAGTTGATGCCAAATAAATCTACAACAAATAAAAATTATAAAGTCGACGGGTCCGTACGCATGCGCAAAAACTTCAAATTCGCGTTCACTTACGCATGTGGCCTGTGAGCTAACGTATCTTTGCGCGCGGACCAAACGGAACCGTATCAGACCGAATTTGGCCGAACACGGCAATCGGGAGCCAGTTTGTACGGGAAAGGGGAACATAAATAAATAAAGGACAAACAAAAACATTAGGTAAATTATTCTCTCATGATCTTCATCTCCCAGGATACGAAGAACTACATCGTCATTCATGTAATCACCCATCATATCATCATCCCCTCCAGACAAAATTCAAAACAAACACTCTGCGCAGCCGCAGCGATACGTTTACTCTCACTTTTTTTCGTGTTTAAACTGTGGTGGTTAACGCGCGTCCTGTTTGATGGGTGAAAGATACCTACAATTTCTAACCAACGAAATTGAAGGATATTTGGAAGAAATCCCTCTAGCTCACTTGAACAGGTTGTTTTGGCAACAGGATGATGGGGCTTCCCCTATTGGAATTGCAACAAACTATTTGAATGATACCTGAAATATCCTAGATGGATAGGAAGATGGGAATATCAAATGGCCTCCATCAACAGCCCAGATCTTACTTCATTGGATAAGTTTTTTGGGGTACGATTGGACAGTCTTTTCGACAACAATTATAGTTTTCCAAATATTCAAGTCCTCGGGGAGGCTTTGCAGACATCAATAATTATTGCATGATGATCCAGTTTTGGTGAGTGATGCAGTCAAAAACATTGTTACCGACTCTGTGTTCAAGAGAATGGAGGCCATTTTGAGCACATCTAGGTCTGTTCCAACCCGCCTAAAAAGCGTCCCGTCAAAGTGACAGCTACAGATAAAGTTTGAGGCACTTGGTTTCTCTGATAGTAGATCCTTTTAAAATTTTTAGAGCCAAATATCTTTGAGATGGCTCAACCAAATATAGAAAAATTATATGTACCTATTTTTGGAATCGGAAAATTTTGCTCTTCAACAGTATAGAATCAAATATAGTGCATTCCATTTAAAAGAAGTTGAAAGTACGCAAAATTTCAAATTTCTGACATTGAATTGCTTGTTTTTGACAATGGATTTTAAAAAACTTAAAACTGCACAACTTTTGTACTATCACCAATCATCGACCTGTTAAAGACAAAGTAAAACATGCAGGTGGGTGTCAAATTTTAACCAGACATCCTGTATGTATATAGGCTGGACTCGGTAATTGCATCTGCGAGCAAAATTTGACAGATGTCACGTGAGAAAAGATAAGTGATTATGTGACGTCCGTCAAAATTTGCTCTTTTTGCTCGCAGATGGAATTACCGAACCCAGCCATTATGCAACAAATAAAATAAATTGAAAAGCCATTCTGAAAGATTCTGTATCATAATCGAACTTGGTAGAAATATTATTGGGGTGATGTATGCTTGAGAAGATGCGGAGAAACGAATCTAAAAAGCACATTTCTCCCGCGGAAATGGAGGGAAGGAATTTAATCCTGAAACCGTGGAAAAAACAAAAAGCTATTGTCTGTATTAGTAATTAGTATTTAGCAGTAAGAGTGGAGATTCAGAAAAGGGATGTTAAAAATGTCACTTTCTTTGTTTAGGTGCCAGCAAATTATTGCTGGTTCTTTTATTTCAGGCACCTATTATTTATACCCTCCTTTCAGTTATGTACTAGGTAACTCTTTACTTTTCTTCTTCTTCTTTTTCTTCTTTAAACAAAATTCAGACATCTGGAGAGGAACAAGATAGTTGTAATTTTTTATTTATTTTCTCAAAAAGGACTACTTTATAAGTTTTCGAATATGAAGTGCGCAGAAAATGCTATTTTCTGTTACTTTATTCAATTATGCCAATTTTAAAAATTAGTCGGCACATTGGTCTCCGAACAGTCCAGATATCAATCCGGTCGACTGCGTATGGATACTTGTCAGAAGACATGATATGCAAATCACAACCACACCTTTGGAACAATTCATCAACTACAAGATCGGATTGAGGACTGTTGGACATAATTTTCACAAGACGCTCTTCACAGGCAATGTTTGTGTAGTATTTTCTTTCTAATTTAATGTTGGTTGTGTTAATTGCCGACTGGTTGCTTCTTATAGGTACCTTAATTTCATCATAATATGTTTTCTTAAAATCAAAGAATTTTTCTGCTAGGTACCATATATTTTTTTTATATTTATTTGGGATTATAGTCTATTCTCTATTCCATTGCAGTTGATAGCTCAAATCGAAGTTTAGGACCATAAAGTCATTGTAAACCCTATGGACTATAGTTTCCGAAAATATATCTGCTATATTCATGGTAGCAGAAAGCCCTTTGATTTTTGATTGATTTTTCCAATACCTTCATCGAGAGACCACCACGATATTCTGTTTTTTGCTTCTATTTTCCTATATTATTTATTTATTTATAATCATTGATTTTCAACAGGCATGATGTCCAATGCCCATATTCTACTATTATTATTGGGCTTCGATTCGATACTACAGAACGAATAAATAACATTTTTTTTTTAATCTGCTGTTTTAAAAATGTTCAAAAAATCGTCCCCAAAATGAAATTTTTGATATTATAATCGTGAAGTACTTGCATTTATTTGGGTATTTGCCCTATAAAAAAGGCCTTTGTCTTTGCTAATAATCATCACTATAATTTTATAGCAATAATAATATGATATTGTAGCATCAGTATCAGAGCAAGGAAAACATTAGGCGGACAAATACATTTAAATGGGTATACCCAAAAACCAGCTCAAAATTCCATACTATTAGCGCTAATTAACAATTAGATTATTAACATATTACCAAACCCATACAGTTGGAAGACTGGCGTAAAAATATCTTCCATTTACCATTTATTTAAGTATTACGTTTTGCGTCGTCCTCAAGGTGAGTGCGTTTTGGAGTTACACCGGTCAGACCATTGGGTCAGACTTACCCCACACTGCGAAATTGTCCTGCAAGAGTCGAGACGCACACAGCAGGAGGATATTTTGTCCGTCAAATCTTCGTACGAATTCGTGAATTGAAGTCGGTCGTGGTTTACGCGAGTGAATTTCGATTTTTGCGGTAAATGTTGTTTGTAATTTGGTTTTGAGAAGTGCTGAAAGCTAAGGGTAAGTTTTCGATTTTTTCAGTTTCAATTATGCTATAATTCTCTCATCGTTTCATTCAAACCGGTTGCATTTTTAATAAAACTCAGATGGGATCTTTGGCTCTTTAAATTTCAAACTTTTTTCTATACGATTGACTTTTTTTTCAAACTGCTTGTTTTGAAAATTACTGCCCCAGAGCTTATATTATGTGCCTTAATGGAATTTTCATTCAGCTGGTTATCTAATTTTCACATTTTTTGGTAATTCAAGTAAGTAAAAAAGAAATTTCAAGAGAATATGACGTTCAGAAACTCGAATGATCAAATTATTCGAGTTGATAAAACTACAGCTTTTTATTGTCAAATTTACTACTAAATTCGATTTGGTTTTTGAATTTGAGCAGGTATTCATAACCACGGAGTATATAGGTATTCCACGCAGATTACGGTTGAAGTTCAAAAACGGGAATTTAAAATTCACATCTTCATTAGGTCCTAAATATGTAGTTCAGTTGGGATTCTAGTGAAATCAGCTTCTCATCTCATACCCTTTTACTGATCAAAAACTTCGGTGCCTTCCAAACCATCACCATGGGCTGTGCAGGTGTCTAGTCAGAAACAAAAACCACACTTAGAAAACAGTTATCATTCATTACAACATACGCTGCCTAATTTTATATATGTATTATTTGTTTGAAAAAAATTCAGTTAGCTGAGAATTGATTAACCCTTCCAGCTTTGAGGTACTTTAGAGTACCTATAATGAAACTATTCTCTCTAGACTTGAAATAACAAGTTGGACTGTCCGTCTACTAACTTTCAAACTCAATATTTTTGGAACCAAACCAAATATCGACCTCCGGTTTTCGGAGACTGACAGACTGACTTTTTGTGAAAAAAAAATGCTATATGGAAACCAGAGGTCGATATTTTAATTCCAAAAATATCGAGCTTGAAAGTTAGGCGAAATTTGCCTTCTGCTCGAAAGCAATTGTCCAGCAGTTTAGTTATTTATAAGGTTGAAAGAGGAAACTTTGAATGTTTAAATTAACAATAGGTTCATAATATATTACTTAATATGCCTACTTGCACATTTTCATTTCATTTTCGGAAAGTTTTTAGTCAATGATCTGGTCTGTTTTTTCTTTTCATTTGGCCCATTGTCAAGTACCTACCTAAATACTTTTTTAAAGGTTGATAACGACAAAATCCTAATGTCAAACTTCTTATCGATGCTTCCTGGAATAATATTTTTTATTACATTCTAAAATAGGATGTATACTCATTCCTTGTGCGTTGAATTATTAAACTTCATTGATTCAGAGTTTTGTTCTATGTCAATTCCTTTTATTATGTTCCATTACTTGATGTTCACTTGTATAAAATGTATAAAGAACAAGCGAATTTTTTTTGAGCAAGAAAATTTTATACATACTTATATATAAGTAATTTAAAAATGTTTAATCAAATAATATAATCACCTACATTATCTACAGTAGGTATTTTACCTGAGTTTTTTAAATTGTTTTGATGTGAAATCAATGAAACCTACATCCGGCAAATTATTTCCTAAATGGCAATAACCAATAATAAAAACTATAATTTCTTCATAATTGAGCATACAGCAGCACGACATACAATTTTTTTCAAATTATGTATGTTATAAATAAGTAATAACTTCACCAATATTCAATAGGTAGACGAATTCTCAACTCTATAACAAGTTTTCTAGTATAAAGCGAATAATAACATTTTGCTATTAAATGAAGGAAGTCATTTCTGAACCATAATGAAAGAAAATATCTTACAAATTTTTATTAGTTGTTTTCTAGAAACCACATTAGAAGTATGTATTTTATGGACGCGTTGAAGCTTCCCATTTTTCAGAAATATGATTATTCCCAATTATGTTTTATGTCTTGGATAGCAATTACTGCCTTAATTCTTCTCTCCAAATAGTTGACAATTCAGATCTGTCGTCATTATCCATCATCCATTGCTTTTCTCTACTCTGATGTGACTATAAACCTCCCACATGGATTTCTATTTGGTTGTTCTCTGAGTTACCTGGTATACCAATTTAGACCATCTGCGTGTTCTCTATCGTCGTACCACTGTACCACCATCTGGCCACTTTATGACTTATTGTTTGTCATGTCTGGCTGCATGACCTGCTACATATTATACTTCCCTTCCCAATATTCTTCTTTCGATTGCTCCTTTGTTGTAATGAAAATAGAATATCTCAAACCATTTTGGTGACTGCTTGACTGCAATAAACTCTTAACGCTTTACCTTCGGTCATTGAAGTAAATTTTCAACCTTTTCAGGCAGGGCTGGCCGTCAATATTTTACCTGCGACATGAATCCCCATGTTTTATCAATAAAAATCACTATAGGTACCTCAAAGAAGAAATCGTACGGAAGGAAGCATTTCGTATTTCATGCCAAAGCCAATTTTACTGAAAACTCAGCGTAGTAGAGCACTTTGGGCTTTCGCCATCATTAGTACTAAGGTTCCGACACAGAAGTTAAAATTGCGCTTTACAACGCTGAGTTTTCAATAAACTGAATTGTGCATAAAATACAAATTGTTTCCTCCCTTACGATTTCAAACACATGCAAGCAGTCACTGCTGTTTCTTGGTTAAAGAAAAAATACATTTGTGATTTAAGTAAAGACGGAACCTAGGCATTATTGTGTATTGAGGATTTTGGAACTGGTTCAACAAGATAAATGATTGATGGCAGGAAAGTCAAACGATATAATTCAAAACCTAGTATGCCTTTTGGAGTGTTTTCTTGTCAAGCGTCAATGTTTCTACGCTATAAATTGTGACAGGAAGGACGCATTCATTTTGGCAATATTGCTTTGAGTGAATCCGACTTGCATGAGTCCTGCTTTCGTTAGGATTAAAGTAGGTTGGTCGTTTTCAATGGTAACACCAGGAAAAGTGTGTTTGCATGGGAATCTCCATCATTTTTGTCACACTTATTGCAAATTCTCCATTAAATCCCTAGATGGTTAGTTATATCTTTGGACAAAATCTTCGGTAGGCGAGCTGCTGGGGTCGTATGGTCAAAAGAAACAGATTTTTTTTGGCCTCTCTCATCTTTTTGTTGTAGGTACTAAGTGAGGGATCGGGTGTGAATCCCATTGCCCGTTCCTTCTTGCCCTAATGCATATTTGATGAGTGTGTCTCCGTTGCTCGTTTAAGTTAACGTTTCACCAAGGAACCTCCTTGCTAACGTGTTTAGTAACACGAATTTGCGATGGTATCCTGCAATTCTATTTCCAATGTTCGCCAGTTTCGAGAATAAACGTCCAAATGAATTGAGACAGAGTAAGAATCTTGGTCCTAATAAAGTCAAGTTAATCTTGCTTGTTTTAACTCGCTAAACACGAATTTTGTTGTAGAACCTGATATTTTACAGTTGCTTCTAAAATATGCATGAGTTGAATATTCTAATATATAGGTATCTGAATAGTGAATGTTTTACTTTTCTATAAGTTTTATTGCCGTTGCTTCTTCATATTTTGTAATATTTTGGGAACAAACAACGAATACAAAAAAAAATAAAAAATTCAACAAACGAATGAATTATATTCCAGAGGGGTAATAAGGCATCAGTTGCAGGCTAGAAGGCTCATGTTTAATAAGGAAAACTTAGTCAAAAATGCCTTTAAAATAAACCTAACAATTCATTGCATCGTCCTTCGGCCCATGTGATTCACTAATACCGAAATTGTTGTTTACGTTGGTTGTGGTTCTTGGTAGTACAACGACTACCCATCGATTTTTTCCGAGAAACTTTTAGCGGGTCCAAAATTTTATTGTTTCGAACCATTGAATCTAAAAAAAAAAATTCCTAGAAATACTATTTTAATTTTGTAATGGTTAACTAATTAAATATCACTTTCAAACGTTAAAACTACTTGACTTGCTTATTATTTAAATGAGACATGCAAAGTAAACAAAATTGATCAAAAATGCATTGTGTCGTCACTGGTCAGACCTACATTTAGTAGACAAATAACGTGCAGGTACCTAATTTAAAATCAATCTAAAATAATGAGGATAGTAACTAGATATTATAATTGACAGCTAGAGATTGTTTTGTCTGGCGATTCTATAATTAAGATGTCAAATGGCAGAAGCCAAATCTACATAAAAAACACTAAAACAATATAAACCCGTTTAGATGCTGTAAGGCATATGCTATTCGACGAATTAAAAAAAGACTGTTCAGAATTCTAAAACAGTGTGGAATGGAATGGAATTTTTTTTATCATTCATAGTTTACGCAAATTTAGAGTTATGAAATTGAGATTTTTTTTAGAGATCGCATAGACCTTTTATTTCAAGCTCAATAAAATAGTGCCGCAAGAAAATTGATCTGAAAGCTAACCCCAGTTTGTGTTAGTCCAACACAACAATATAAAAAATGAATTCAGGGGATTGTCTTGAAAACCCTCAATTTACAAAAGTTATAAAAAATAAATTCAGGGTCCTTCGTATAAACCAGCAAAACATAGTGTTGTTCTATAACCTACGACCCAGGTTTTCAATGGTCAGCAGGTCAAATATGAACCTTCACAATAATAGTTATTTCGGTTTAAAAGTAACAACAATTTAATTTAAATGAAAAATTTTCGTGTCAACAATTTAATTAGCGCTTGATGAAAAATTATAGAAAAAATAATCGTCAGCTGTATTTTGTCACCGTTTCCAATAATTAATAACTTTTAGACCTTGGAGGCAATAGCATGAGTTATAGTCGTACAGGTTTAAAAGGTCGAAAATTTCCTAGAAGGTACCCAAAGATAAATGGTTACAAGGTTTATTTGGGAAATGATAATCCAATATTATTATTTTGTTTTATACACGGTGGCTCATCTAGGTAATACAAATAATGCCTATCTACTACTTATTCGCCTTCAAAAGGCGTCCATTTCAACCATACCTAAAACAAAATTTAGTTATTATCTATATTATACAGTGGGGGTCCCACCACACTGTAA